ACAACAAAAACTATTTATGACATATTAAAAGACTAATTACTTTCACCCCAAATACTAATTAGTTTTAATTTTTAATTTTTTTAATTTGCCACTATCCTAGGTTTGGCCCATTTTTCAATAAGAATTTTTTACTCATTTAAAACAATAAAATTGAATATGCTCCCTTGTGTTCATCGTCTGTTTGATTACGTCTTAAATTGTACTGCCATATGTACATTAACTGACAGTCACCACTGATAAGCTACCACTAAATATTGTAGAAACTTAATTTGCTGTAAAGTTGCTTTGCAATGATTTGTATCGTGAAAAGCGCTGTGCAAATAAACTTGAATTGAATTGAACTTGAATGTGGTGCTTGCTTACTATCCTCAAATGATTTAAAGATACTTTAATATGAAGTCCGTGCTGAATGCGACTGACACCCACAGTGACGCAGACGGAGTGTTTCTCCACCCGTCTCTAATAGCATCCTGCAGATCCTGGCAGGGTCTCTCTTGGCAGGAGAAAGGGACCATAAGGTGTGCTCAGCTGTCGTCTGGCAGTACTTGGCAGCCGCTGTGTTGGCATGTTTTGTTTCTGTGTGTACGTCCTAATGCAGTGCCACAGTAAGCTATTAGTGTCTACCGCCACGCTGTCATGGTTTCTTAAAACATTAATGGTAAAGTTGTCATAAAATGCCATGTGGACCATTAGAAGAATCTACTAATCTTGTTCAAATGCTAAACAAATTCACTATAAACACATTTCTGCTTGCATATTGAGATAGGTCTTAGTGGCTGCATTTTTGTAAGCAGCAAAGCAGGTCGCTTCTAAGTGGGATTGAATCTGTATGTAATCCACCATCTGTTGGGCAATGGGCATCATCCTGAGGTGTGTTACGCAGCTAATCTGATGCCATTCGTTGCATCAAGCTGTGGCGCAACCAGCTTTCCCTTTAAAACTGTGTTTGTGCACTTGACAAACGTACCGTCCACCTCCTGCTGACAGAGCTGTGCTTCAGTATGCTGCTGTATTACAAAACACAGGTAATATTTAACCTGCTTACCGATTTCATTACCACATGTTTTCTTTGCAATGAATTTTGAGTCATTTTTAATAATGCGAATTTGTGACTTGAATATTAGTTCGAATAATTATTTCACATGGTTAACATGTACTTTCAAATTTCATGCCTTGAATTAGATAATTTGGTAAAATTATTGTAAAATAATTATTAACGAATATAATAATGATAATACTGATATTGTTATTTACAGTAGTGGTACTGTTGTTATTGGTTACAATGTTTTAATTATAACATTAAATTATTTCTTCAAAAACGTACAAGATATTATTTTGTTATATAGCATAATTTAAAGGCACAACATGTAATCTTTTGACCGCTGAAGGGGCGTATTCATTGATACATTTGAAAGTTCTGTTATAATGCTACTCTGTGCAGTCGTCACTGGTCTATTAAAACACACAACATATTAAAGCGTCTTTGGTGTTTCCATGTTTTCTACAAAACAAAACCGGAAATCGAGGGGTTATGACGTCATTGGCAGGCGACACAATGACACTATGGACACGGTCCGTGTCACTAGTTAAAATTGCTTATTTCTCTGGATTTAAGCAGTCTTTGAAACATGTGGGATAATGTAAGTACACAAATCAGCAATATATATAACACTGTTCTAGTGGTTTTTGGATATTTTAATAAAAAAATCTTACATATTGTGCCTTTAATAATAAATGAATACACTAAAACAAGCAACACCCCCAAATAAGTTTTTTTTTCTTTTCTTTTCTTGTTGTCTACTTTGTATTGATTTATGTTAGTAAATAAATTAATAAGATTTTAATATACATATATAAAACATGAATAGTACAATTGTAGAATAATAAGGTACAATTATCATATATAAAATAAAATAAATACAATTATAAATATAGCAGAAATAACACAATCTGAATTATCTATTTTTTTTTCTGTAAGGTTATTTCACAAAGAATGGGACAGAAGAATCAGAAAACAGGTATTTTTTCAGCCCTTTATGATTTTCTTGAAAACATTTTTTTGGGTAAGAACCCATAAATTAATAACCTCATAGCTCTGATAACATTTTGTCTTCTCCGTCCGTCAGAAAGCTCCAGCGGTGCTTCTACTGCATCCCAGCAGGCTACTGAAGGCCAGGACGATCTCATCCGGCCGAAGAAACTGTTCAACCCTGTTTTGGAGTCTTCTAGTCGTAGAGGTTTACATCGTGAACTGCTAGTCAGCCACAGATGGTGAGCTAGAAATGACAACAGCCCCTCCTGTTCATTTACAGCCCAGAAATGGTTTCTCGGGTGAATTTAGCAGGCTATTACAGCTGACTCATACAAAACAGGGCGCTTCTGCGATTTGGTGTGTGTTGAGGCTGTGCTTTCAATTATGTGTGGATGAGTTGAGGCCAATTCACAGGGATGAGAGCATCTGCCGTCTGAACAGAATCCCAACAGACTTCCCTGAGCTCTGGGAAAGGGGATCTACGGGGCACATAGATAGAAAACAACACCAGCAGGCTAATCTCTTATTGAGTGTGTGTGGACTCATAAAAATCACGTTTGACGACATTAAAACATTATAAGCCCGGTTTTGGTCTTTGATTAGTTTGGAAAAGAAACGGAGGACACAGAACAAGAACAACAAACTACTGAAGACGGCAGCAACAATAGACACCCGCTGTGATAAGCGCGTATGTGAGGGAATTAAGGGATACCCGCAACTATAGTTTAAACGAGAACAAATTGTTAGCGCTCAACTCTATTTTAAAGAGGATGAATCTCTCTAGTGCGCATGTGTCGAGCACCTGTTGTTCGTGCACTGGCCACGGTTCGGAAATTAACAGGGACTTGATGTGACCGTATGATTCAAACATGCCACCAAATTGGACAAATTTCCACTTTTATACTAAAACTATTACGGCTGTCATGAGTAAAGTGAACATTTTAATCTGCTCATGTTGCATCGTACTTCTTTTTACAGCGTTGAGCATTATAACCAATCACACACAATTCTGCGGAGCTTTTGAATGCAATAGCCAATCAGAGGCGTTCAGATGAGTCATCACTGAGACGCAGATTTGTTTAGTGCGCGCGCTCGCTGCTTCAATTCAAAGTTTAATTATTTAGTCTCTGTTTGAATAACTGTGGAAATAAAAGCATTATAATGAATTATGAACTAATTTTTAATAAACTGTGATCATGTTAAATACAAATGAACTTGTATTAAAAATACGGTAGCACTTGATTTTACAGTAGGCCTACGTGTACTTCCCAGGTACATACATGGTAAATATCTTGTACCTACAGGCAAATGAGTGGTAACACAAGGTACTTGCCTGAAGTGTATGTACATGGTAACAAATAAGAAACACGGCTGTACTTAACAGTCGTACATGCATGGTAATTTGTTTGTACATACAGACAAGTGTGGGTACTTACAGGTAGTGCCCATACATGATAACTAATTAGATACTTTACTGTACTTACTAATGTATATATACATGGTAAATATGTAGGCCTAGTACTTACAGACAAGTGGGTACAAACAGGCACATCCTTACAGTATCCGTATATGGTAACTAAGACACATTACTGTACATACTAATGATATGTACATGGTAAATGTGTAGCACCTACGGAAAAATGTGGTATTATGTGGTAACAAACAAGACTCATACTGT